CCCCAGCCCCCCGCCTGCCTCCCCGCCACCCCCTCACCTTGCGCAGGTCCTGCTCCAGCGCCTGCTGCAGAAGCTGCCTGTTGTCCCGCAGGAAGCAGCCCAGGGCCTTGAGCTGGGCAGCCCGGAACTCGGCCGGCCGCGTCAGCCCCGAGCTGAAGGCCTCCCGCAGTCGCCGCAGAGTGTCCTCGAAGGGGTCCATCCTGCAGGGGGTGGGGGCGCGTCGTGGACCGGGACTCCCCCACCTTCTCGGCACCCACCCCCGCCTGCCTGCACCCAGTGGGCCCACAGACATCCCTATGGAATTCCTGTGTAACCCCAGAGGGCCAGGGCTGGCCATACACCCACACCTACATACCCCTCACACACGCACACACACGGACTCGCATGCACACACACACACTGGCCCACAGACAACTCCCCTCGGCCAGTGGGCAGGAGAGCCCTGGACCCTGAGGCAGCCACAGGGCTGGCATGGGATCAGGGACAGCTACTGCACAGCCCCTGAGGGTAGGGAGGCAGCCGGTAACCACACAGAAATCAGCCCCAGGCCCCGTCCCCTGCTCCTGGAGATGGGGCCGTCCTCGCCCCTGCCAGGCCTGAACAGAGTGACCAGAAGGAGTTTGGTAAGTAGAGGGACAGTCCAACAACCTCTACCACAGCCACCACTTTGGGACATTCCAGACACAGAATGCTCTGTTGTCCCCTGCCCCCAGCCTGGCAGCACTGCCTCGGGAGGCCAGGCGGGCTGGTGGTGGCTCAGAGGGCTGAGTGACAGCACGCGGTAGCCTCCTCTCTCCATGCCCCAGCTCCCCAGCAAGACAGGGAGAGAGCCCCAGCCTCCCAGCGGCCCTGCTGCCCACCCCAGCCTGGGCCGGCCCGTGCTGGCGGAGCAGGGAACAGTGGGGGCAAGTGGTGAGGGGGTAGTCATGCCTCTATGCTGTCATCAGCCAGGGCTGGCAGGTGGGGTGAGGGCCCCAACATTCCCCCGGGCCCCTGCCTGTTTACTTGAAGCTCATCAGAGGAGCGCACTGACGCATTCACTCCTCGGCCTGCTGCCAAGAGCCCATGGGGACCCTCTCTTGCCTTCTCTGACTTTCTTCCTTTCAGGTATCAGCTTGGCCGATGCCTCCTCCAGGCAGCCCACCCTAATTACTCCCTCACGCACTCTCACAATGGGCCCTTGGCTTTGCTTCTCGCCACACTGGGTCATAGATAGATACCTAGTTTCATTCTGTCCGCTCCCCTGGCCCT